AAAAAAAAAAAAAAAACCCTGCAATAAAACCTTCTATTTCAGTAAGTATCAAGAAAACACAGGCAGATGATTTGGTGCAGCTTTCTTAAGGGATCATAGAAGGGACATGGTTTTAAATAAAGATGGCAAGATCAATAACCAACAGACGATATCAGTTTTATAGAACTGGCTGATTCTGTAACATCTGTCTTTGAGGTTTTAGTTTTCAAACTATAGATCACCCCAAAGAAGTTGCAACTAATGACATGTATCACCATCACACAAACAGAGTCCAGCGGTAGTTCAAATTAGTCCTGCTTTGTTTCACATCATTTAAATATTTCCAGCATAGGACATGATACGGAACAAAACTCAAAGTAGCAATAAAAATATTATTCTGCAGTTGAATAAAAGCAAAAATGTTTTAGACTGTTAAACTTTTAAAGCTTTAAGCATTCCTGTTTAACCAGCATTTAAAAAAATTTATACAATCATAACACTGGCAAAGGTTAATGGGAAGACAAAGTACAAACATGTGAAATGATGAATTAGATTAAAAATTACTTTGTATCGATCAATTGATGTTAATACTGCTTCTTCTTGAATTTGGAATAACTATCATAAAAGTTACATGCAGACTGAGGATAGTCCTCTGTTACAGAAAATACAAAACGAAACGAAACAAAAAACTAAAACTGGGAAACAATAGTAAGTTCCAAAAGATGTGTTTGAGAATTTCCTTTCATTGATGAGGGTGGTCTATCTGTCCTTTCTTTTGAGAGACCTGGTTCGCTGTGATGAGCTTCACTAACTTTGTCCAGAAACATCAGTAGTGGGATCAGCTCCTCCAGAGCCCGTTTGTGCACGTTTGATGTAAAGATTCAGTAGCTTCATCTGCAGATTCAAGCCAAATAAATGTCATTTGAGCAAGCTGCTCCAAATTATAAGATACTCATTAAAATATTATATACATATATGTGAGCTCTGATAGATTTTAGGCTGGGGGTTATTATAATGTCCAAGCTATTGCTGATAATTAAGAATAACAAATTGTTTTTTTGGCTAGCACATCTGAAAAAAATATATAAAATATCAAAAAAGTTTTTAAGTCTTGAAAGTTGTTCATGACGAGTATTTTATGTCTTTTCAAAATATATTGTAGGGATCACACATAAAACTTTTGATATGGTTTGGCTCTGTGTTCCCACTCAAATCTGATCTTGAATTGTAACCTGAATTGTAATCCCCATGTGTTGGGGGAGGGACTTTCTGGGCGGTGACTGAATCATGGGGGCGGTTCCCCTGTGCTGCTCTCGTGATCGTGAATTCTCATGAAATCTGATGGTTTTGTGAGGGGCTTTTCCCTGCTTCGCTCTGCAGCTCTCTCATTCTTCTCCTTCCTGCTATCATGTGAAGAAGGACATGTTTGCTTACCCTTCTGCCATGATTGTAAGTTTCCTGA